CACTTTTGGATGGTAAGTGGAACACATTTTAAACCAAACATTATTCTAGGTATGATAAGGAAGTTAACATCAGCAACTTCTGGTATTCTATTTATTATGTATCTAATAAAACATAAAATGATACAATATTTGAGATAAGCTAGAAATAAATATTGAGCAGTGAAATACCTTAGCTTTCAGATGACCAAAAGCTATCAAGATCAAACTGAGCTCTGATCCACTTCAGAACAAGCTAAACAGGAACATCTAGTTTCAGATTTCATTTTTCTACCCACTCACCTAGTCCTAACAAGGTAGGCAAGAGAAGCTCAAAATCATAACTGAAACTGTTCAGAAATGCAGAGTACTGTATTTTGGAGGAAAATCTAATTCTGTGCTTTACACAGATTGTCTAATCCCACTCACCTAGTCCTAACAAGGTAGGCAAGAGAAGCTCAAAATCATAACTGAAACTGTTCAGAAATGCAGAGTACTGTATTTTGCTTTACACAGATTGTCTAATTAAAGTGACTCACAAAAGGAATATCAGCATTCTAAGCATCAATGTGAACATCTCAGTTGAGACATCTTTGTGTAAATGTTGAAGTCAGAAGCCAATTAACAACAAAAGCAAATAAAAACAGTAAGGAAAATAAAATTGAGTTCTTAGTACAAATCAGGTGTTTTCTCTCTCTGCAGTACCAGTGTGTTTCCTGGACCAGCAGAACATGAGTGATTATGCTTACTGACATGAAAAATTAGAATGAGTGTCAAACACCATACTTTAGAATGAAATAATTTTGTGTTTGAAGTCAGAGTAAAATCCACTAAGAAAGCAGATATGTGCAGTCTATACTGTCTTGAAGAGTATCTGGTACTATCCACATACAGAAAGAAGATTAGATAATTTCTGAGTCTGGTATAGTAAGAGTAATTCCTGTGTATTTTCACATTTTCACCCAGACTTATAAATTTATGAGCTCTACTTATGAAAAGCAATCTGCTGTCTTCTATATTGTACAGGCTTGAGCTGTTAAGCAGAGGCAAGGGTTGCTTGTACAGAGGCTAGATCACAGTCACATCAAAAAATCCAAGTATATAAAGCAAATATACAGACAGAAATCAAGGAATTGCACAAAGTAGATTGTGTGTAGCAATTAAGCAGTTGTGGGTTACAATGTCAGTTAACAAAGATTAGGAAAAGAACCCTTATCAGTGGGAAAGTGAAGTAGTAATGGCACAGAAGGTCTGCAAGCATCAAGTTAAAACCCAATGCTCTGTGCATCTAAGTTTTTTTTTCTATACACCCCTTATCTTCTTCTGCCCATGCTACTCCCAGATTTTATTCACTTCTCAGAAAAACTACCTTCTCACATCTAAAGTCCCTGTAACACCCAATCATCTAAGGGGCATGCAGCAGATGGGTAAGAAAAGGGCAAGAACAAGAAGAGAAAATAGGAGGTACAAAGAAATGGAAGCTTGTCTTCTTCTGCGATCAAAGAAAGTTTATGTCCATTTCAATTTCATCCTGTAGGCCCCACTCTGAAGATCAGACCTGCATTATAATCAGCATCGGATGCTTGTGGGTTTTGAATGGCTGATACCAGATCTACACTACTTCACCTGCACTGGAGTTTGAATTTCTACGAAGTGACTAATCATATAATGATACCAGCTGGCAGACATAAGTTGTACTAATAAGGCTTAATAAGATTATTGAGCATAATCTGTATCATTACTCATATACACCCATTGGCACATATAGGAATTGATACATGATACAATGTAGCTCAACTTCAGATGTAGAAGCTCCTTCTGTGAAACATCAAGCAACAAACTTAATACCCCGTTGTAGAACTTCAGTGGAAGGACAAAACCTTATCACTTAGTGCTGATGACTGCATTAACAGAACAGTTTAATTATTTCCCTGCAAACCATGCCAGATTATACTACTAAGTGATATATCTAGGAGATAATACAGATTTCACTAAGGAGACCAATCAATCCCTGGAACTTTCCTTCTTGCTCCACTAGTTAAGTTTTCAATACCACAGATTTTACTTTAAATTTAAAAAATCAACAATACTATTGAATTTACATAGACTTAAAAGTTAAGCAAATGTAAGTCTGCAGAATGGAGTCCAGCATTACATGAATCACCTTCAAACTTAATGAACATACATGATGCAGTTTGCATCTTACAGTTTACCTCAGCTTACATAAATTAATCTCATTTTTCTGCCACCTTTCACAACATTTGTAAAGTGCACTCCACTATATTTATGTTACATTGGACCTACAATAAACAACATGAATTTTCGTTTAATTATTAGATGACATGTTGTCCTCAGAATATAGCTGGGTGTTGTATGCCAAGTGCCAACAGCAAATAATACAGGTTCTTCCTGTTCTGGGAGAAACCAAATGGGAGCATCTTCTTACTTGTTAACCTAGACTCCATTAAGTAAAATGTATTCACATAACTATTAGTGGGACAAATATTCACTCTGTAGTTATTTCTTATATTTATGACTTTGACTCCTTGAAAATCAAGCATCTAAAACCAAGAGTAGTTGAGGACATGAACTAGAAATCTGAATTGTTTAGCAATATTATTACTGCTTATTATTATTAGACTTTGTTTTCTATATTGGGAAATAGGAGAACTGCTTAGGGCAGATACCATTGCTTAACACTTCAGACATGGGAGCCCAGTTTAAAGCTGCCTGTTATGAAGTCTCCTGATGTCCATTAGAAGGATTTAAGATTTCAATAATAAACACATTTTTCTTCCTACAGTCTTCAGTCTTCCAGAGTGCACTTTCTCATTTAAATAGCTTGCTTGCTATCGATGTTCCTACTTAGCTAGCAAGAAGTTTGAACAATACCAAGGACTGTATTAAAAAGATGGCTGTTAATTTGACCTTGCTTTATCAGAGAAACTGCACACAGTACTACTAGTACAGGTAAAAGAACTGCTGCTCTTTGTTTCTTCCAAGCTACCTTTCCACCTCTAGCTTTTACATTTGAGATACATTTGAATTAACACTGCTCCTATTTGTTACCTTGGAAAACCCTCACAGCTGACTTGTACCAAAAATATAAAGAAAACAATACAGCTGCAATGCACGAAGTATTGAAATGCAGCAGATCTCAAACTGAAGGGGAAAAAAAGGAGCTTTTGTCACAAAGACGTTTGATCAGCGTGGGTGATTATATCAAGATATGCTTTAGACATGAGTGCTGTTGGAAATCAATGAAATAATGGGTGAATAAAAATCTCATGTTTTGAACTAAGTGCCCATTTGTCAATCATGTTTAAAAAAGTTGTTCTGAAAAAAAAGCAACTTTCAAGAGTCAAGGCAGCAGGAGACAAAGTGAAGGTCTGGATATATGAGACAAGTTTCTCAGAAAATTATAGGCATGTGTGAAATAATTTAAGGAAAAGTTAGAAGAGAAATAAAATATGTACTGGGTCATGGCATTGGCTAGTGTCAGAAAGTGGGCTAAGGACACTGAGCAGGCAAACAACAGAACAGTCACACGGACATGCAAACAACAAAGGTCAGCATGGCCCCAGCTGATGGACAGTTCATGGAAACAAAGTCAGGCTGTACTAGATAGCAACTTCTGTGGAAGGGTACAACCAACCTAAGCTTAAAGAGGGAAGAGGACTTGTAAAGAAAAGCAGACAGTATCATAACATTCCTGATCTCTGTGCTGATATGGAGATTAAAAGTACCAGCAAAACTGTACTACAAAGATTCATAAACCTGGAAATTTGCAGAAATTTTCCTTTTTGCAATTATTTTAATATAAGAAGTTTATTTTGATACCAAAAGTATCTCTTTTTTAGGTTCTCATAATCACCTACTATCAAAGTATCTAAGATTTTTAAAACCAAGGTATTTTCACAAACATTCACCTTATAAAACATGAATTAATTAATGCTGGGTGATTCTGCTCTATACTGAGGATCTAAAATACTTCAAATAGTTGACAATTCTTCCCACCCACACCATATATTTTAAAGCAGTGAGATTACTGATGTGTCTAAGGTCTCAGAGCAAGTGGCAGAGAACTAGGTTCAACAGTTGTGACCCTAATGCTCTAAAAAATGCTAACAATTTGAGAGTTTGAGGCTTCAGCTATTACACCAAAACATAAACTTGCTTTAAAATGCCTGATGATACCAAGGATAGGGAAAGGGAGCAAGAAAGGAGAGTACATGTGGTGATTCAGAATGAAGAACCAGGGATTACCTCTCAAACTGCAGCTTCAGACCTCCTACTCCAGGCAGAAATACTTGGAAGAAATAGGAATACCTGATAAATGGACTGACCTATGTGCACACTCTTGTGTCACACTAAAAAAAGCACAACATTCACAGGTATGTATTAATATGTTTTTAAAAGTCTGTATGAGAACATTTTTCAAGACTAAAAATAAATACATTGATTCCACCTGCATTTTGATCTGCATTTAAGTTTAATCAGGGAAATAGTTTTGTCATTCCAGTGTTAACCATGGCACCAATACAGGCTATCAATATAGGACCAACCAGTTCCCACAGAAAGTAGAGATGCTTCATGTGCATTATCAGGCATCTTTCTGAGGGATATGACCACAGGGGAAGATCCAGTGTAAATACAGTTATGCTGGCATGGGTGTTTTTGCTGGTATAGCTCGACATGCCAATCTGTTATTAACTCTGCTGGAGAAAGCACCTGTACAAGTCTGACTGGTTTTTGTGGGACAAGGCTGCCTGGTATCTGTGCTGTGCCTGGCCTGGCTCTACTCTTTATAGGGATTATTTCCCTGTACTTACACGGGTGACAACTCATTCCACCCTCTGCCTGGCAGCCAATCTTGTCAGCTCCTCTCATGGCACTAACAAAAAAAAAACAAAACAAAAAAAAAAAAAAAAAAAAAAAAAAAGGAAAAGACAAGGTGTGACAAAACCGACCTCATAGTTTCTCTGAATTTTTAAAACTTTCTTTTTTAAATCTTATTTTTATTCGGTCGTTACCACATTGACAAGCCATTTCTGGCACACGCTGAGGAATCACTGCACCCCTGCACAAAGAGCCCCGGCAGGGGGGTGATCGGAGCCCGCTCGGCGGGAGGAGGCGCCTGGGAAAATCAACCCGCGGGCCGCGGGGGAGGCTCGGCCTCCGCTGCTCAGCCCGACCTCCGGGCGAGGGCGGCCGCGGCAGGCCCGGCCCCGCCGGCGCGGCAGGAAACGCCCCTTCGTCCCCTCCCCGTCGGGCGGCGGGTCCGCCCGCTGGCACGGGCTGCCAGGGAGCGGTAATTGCCGTCCCGGCCTTGCACAACCCGCTCCCGGCGCGGCCCGTCCTGCCGGCGGCGCGGGGCCGGGCGGCGCCGCCCCCTCCCGGCATCCCTCGCTCGGCTGCTGGGCTCGGCTGCGCTCGGTCGGCGGCTCCGCGCTGCTCTCGCCATGGCCGCCTACAGCAAGTTCCTCACCGCGCGGCACTCCGCCATCGCCGGGGCCGCCGCCGCCTGGGCCGGCGCCGGGAGGCCGGAGCAGCGGGAGCCGTGCTCGCCCTCGCGGCCCGGCCCGGCGGAGGGGCAGCCGCGCCCCTGTGCCGCACACTGGGCGCTGCCGCCGCTGCCCTCCGTCCGGGAGGCGGCTCCGGGGCACGGGGGCAGCCCGCTTGTCCCCACGCCTTCCCCGGCGTGAGGTCGGTGCCCCTCTTGCGAGCATCCAGCCACCGCCGCCTTGTTACCCAAATTACATTGGCTTTTTCTATTTTCCGGACTAGGAACGAGTATTGACACTTGACTTCTAGGGATGACCGTGTCAGCATAGGCAGTTAATGGTCTCAGCTGTTGTTTGAATGCTGCTGTGTGACAGTAAGATACACGGGAAACGATTTCAAAGGGACCGAATGTGGTGATGTTCTCTGTGAGGTTGCCTTACAGCTATATGGTTCTAGGGTGTGTATTCGTTAATGCCTTACAAAGCACTGGTTTTGCAAAGTGTGGCAGGTGAAGAATGTGTCGCAGACTCAGCCCTTTCACGGTTTTACTGTATTTGTGACTGTAAGTTGTTAAACACATGCTTAAGATCTGGTATGTTGCGATATTACAATGCCTACAGGTGTCTTGTAGGCACTACAAAATTCTACTGAAATGGACTTACTCAACAGACTTAAGTAATAACATACCTGAGATTAAGCAATGATCCAGTTTTATTTTACCTAAGTCCACTCATGCACAATATCTGTAGGAGTTCCATGAAGTTGGGTAACTGTCACACAACATGGCAGACATTGAAACACTGCTGACAAGTCATGCATTTGCTACCTTACATTGTTTCTTGCATGAGAGTTTAAACAAGATGCTCAGCTATGGCTGTGAGTTACTCTTCTATCAAATTCATAGGGAGGAGTGATTTTTTCAAATATCTCTACCTAAGTTAGTGAAATATCACTTTTAAGAAGCAGACAAGCTGTATGGAAGGGCAGAAAAATGATGAGCTCAGATTTTCATGCCTAGTATAGTGGTATTTGTAAAAAATACTGGGCCTTGCAGATGTTCCGGGAGCAGTTATGTGTTAAGTCAGTCCAAGAGTATTATTTTAAAGTGAATCTCAGTTGTCCACACTCACCTTGCTCTGCCTTCATTGAGGAATGATCTTGGAGCACACAAACCAGGTTGGAGCACATCTTCAAACATAGGTGCAGGTCCAGTGTAGTTTTGAAGTGCATTTAACATTTTCCCAGTGTTAGTAGCATTCATTTGATAGCAGCAGGCTAGAACTTGTCCAGAGTAATCTCCCTGTGTCTGAAATAGGTATTATATGTGTCCTTTTTTGTCCCCATTAAACTATTTTGCTTTCATGTCTTATGAGGTTGATCTGCAGGACTTGACAATGTCAATGCATGCATTAGCTTGAGGGTCAGTGTATGGAAAGTGTTAGCCTAAATGCTGAAGACTCTTTGGAATGTGTCTTTCCTGTGTGGATCATCAGTTTTGCTAGGTATAGTGTTAAAAATCTGAGATATCTGTATATATTAGGTGGACCAAACATTACAAGATTAGTGGGAATTGAGAAGGGGCAGTAAGTAATGAATTACATTCCAGCTAATTCAACAGATGCATGGGCTTGTGAGAGCCTGACGTGATCTGTCCCTTTTGCTGTCTCTGTACTGCAGTCTTTCTGATACCTTGTCCTTCTGTAATCTCTTTAGTCATTTTACATTCTTGAATTTATTAGAAATGCAGTTGCTAAAATAAGTGCCATGCTTACAAGCTTGATTTTTCGCTGGTGTGTATGTATTGTTTTACACTTTTGAGTCCCTCCACAGCTTAGGTCTTACTTACTGCTGGTACTGTATTGTGGCCATGGATTCCAAACTCTAACATCCAACATTCGGTTGTTTCAATAATAGCTGTGCTGCTGCTTGAATGCTATTTTGAGGATGGTTTTTGCCCACTGGTCTTCGTTCTTTTCTCCATGTTTCCCTGTGAGGCAAACCTTGCCAGGAGCCTTACAGAATGCTACCTATCAAGACTAGGCAGTAGGTAAGCTACATTGCCTATATCACCAGCCTAGACCAAAGCATCTGGTTATTACCATTGCCTCATCCTCCTTTAGTCTCATTAGTTCATGTATCATTCATTTTTTCATGCTTTGTTGCTGATGTAAATTATAGAATACTTTTGAAAAGGATTGTCGTCGTGCCAAATCTTTATGTTTTCAGCATTCTTGTGCTGGTGTATGATGCTGCCATATAGTAACAAGTGCACAACCCTTGAAATCTGCAGGGCCTAGAGTATCCTTTAACATCTGTGTTGTATATCTCTGACTCTCTGGGAAGAGAAAGAAATTGGGAAGGCATGGCTGTCCTAAATTTTTGTACTTATTCCTAGGGTGAAGAATTTCACTTGGCAATCTAGATAGTCTGGAAGAGGACTGGTAGCGTATCTGCTGCTTGAGGTTAACTGACTAAAATCCGTGAGGTGATTTAGTTTTGTGTGTGTGAATTTCCTTGTTGTGTAATGCCTGAAAATGTTGTGCCATGTTAGTGTGAGGTGAATTTCAACTTCTTGAATTCTGGAGGGTGAAATTCTAGTTTTGAGCTTTGTAAGGGCAAAGGTAAATGTTGCAGACCTGAATATAACCAGCAAAACGCTGGGCTTAACATTCAGGTGAACCATTGAAGTGTTCTAGTGCAACTATAAACTTTACCTACAAAACTTCTTCCTTCCTCACATAGTTTCAGAATACATACTTATACATACTTTGTGTTCAAAATAACATTTCATGTTTTCCTATTATTTCATGTATTTCTGGAGTAACTGCCATTTTTCTGTTTGATTTGGTGTGCTTTTTTTAAGTTTTGCTGGAATGTCAGCAATAGGTCTGCTGCTGTTTGAACTTGGAAAGTAAAATAACATAAAAGTTGAGAAAAAGAAAACAATCTTCTAGCAAATCAGATGTGTTTGAATGTGTAACAGGCTTGTCATTTTGTATGTGTTTGTTTTTATATAGAATTACCAGTTACAGGCATGATAGCAGGAAGGAGAGGTAGTAACTTTCACCTACTTTTCTGCTGTCAAACAGTAGGGGCAAAGTTCAGTACAACTCATATAAAGTAGTAATGTATGAATAATTAAGCTGTATGTGTTATGCCAACCTGCCTTACTAGGTCAAAGATCACTTAATTAGTCACAGATGTTGTTCTGTAAGAGGTATTACACTGCTCATTGATTTTACAGAACTGAGAGGTGTATCACTTGCAATTTACAATGCCTTATTACTACACTTTTCTGAAATCTTCCAAGGTAGAAGATTATGTTTGCTTATAGTGACTTGTTAGTTTTCCATATTACTTCCTTGGAGTAAAACATGGAGGAAAATACACTGGTTCTTTTTCCAAGTTGCTCTCAAAAAGTCTGTTTCCTTACAAAAGCTTTGTGTCCTCTTGGAAGGGGATGAGTTGTGATATCTAAATGCAATTCTGACTTCAATTGCAGTATTTGGGTTTTTTTAGATTAATGACAAGTCCTTTGAGAAACTACATTATCCTGGGTTTATAATGCAGAAAAAAATGTCTGTTTATTCTCTTTCCCTAATCTTGCCTCAAACAAGAAGCTGCAAATCTTTGCTTAAGATTTGATTGCTTCAGACTTAAAACCTGAAGGGGTGTTGCATAAAGGAGCTGGATATTTTTCATTACTCCTCTAATAAGAATTTTTCCTGAGTATCCATGTAGTTTAAAATACTTACACAAGTAGAGCATGAGCTTGACTTACTTTCAAAAAGAAGATCTTTTAACTCATACAACTTTCTGCTGGAAGGAGGGACTGAAAGAAGTAAAGAAGGTAGTTAGGGTAAAGAGTTTGAAATGTAATATTAGGGAAAGGGAATAAACAGTTTAGAGTGATAGGCAGGCATTTGTAGTGAATGGCAAGGTGACATAATATTTTAGAATCTGCTCGTAGGGCCTTTCCTATCACCTAGCTGCATTCATTAGAATCCAAGATGCTAAGATGTGGACACAATTTAATATAAACTGAACTTCTGAAACCCCTGTGGTGGCATCCCATCTCTGGGGAAAAATGAATAAAGCAAGAATAGTGTATGCATGGGGCCTTAGAGGTTAGGCAAGCCTAAAATGAGGGGGAAAGCTCATTGAGTGGAGGGAGGTTGAGTTGCAGACATGGTTTATCTAAAATGGTTTTGCACAGCTGACCTATGCTGCTGCCTGTCTCTGTGCTCCTCAGCCATTGTCCTGACAGAGTGGTAGCTCATGTCACTTGCTCAGTAGATGTCACTGCTCGTGCCCTCGGCTGCACAGCCTGTGAACATGCAGTGGAGGTGATAGTATTGCAAGCAGAGGTGACAGACACATGTCCAAATGTTCAGAGGTGCTTTCAAACATAACATAGGAGTTTAGATATAGCAAGGGGTAGTTGTAGCTTGAAACAGATGGTGCATTTTTATTCTATTTGTGTATATTTAGAATGTTCTTCTCTCCTGTTAGTTTGCGTAATTTCTCTAGATTCTGAATGTGCTTGGGTGGGCTTTGCTAGTGTACTTCAAATGGAGGGACCTGTTCTAGTAGAGTCATGGCTGTTTGATAGGAAGGGTGAAATTACATTGCTGCACATTAATAGCCTACTTTTGTGTATGTAAAAGCCTTAAAAGGGAACCTGTGTTACTTGGAGGAAAGGTGGCAGGTAACAAAAACAACTTTATGCTAATTACATTGAAGTAAATTTATCCAGATGTGAATGTGACCGTTCAGTCTACTGCTTGCAGTAAGTGCACTGGCGTTGAGGGGAAAAAGACTAAATATGCAGATAGGATTACTAGAAAACACACCGAAAATGTAGTCTTGTAGAAAAATCTGCCTGGGGCTCAGGAAACCTGAATTCAGCTGGAGGGTATGGAGACAGGAGAAACCAGATGACTCAGCCCTAATCCTAGCTTTTAGACTGCCTTTGTTTGGGGCCTGGGTAGCTAATTAGTGGTTTCTCTCTTAATTAAGTTGCACAAAATGCTTGCTGTCTAAGGCAAGATCTAGTGTAAGTGTGTGTGACAGAGTATAACTTTTTGTTAAATTATTTAATTTCCTTTTTTTAAGATACTAGCTAGAAGTTTTTTCCCACTGTTATCCATGAAGGGGATCTGCAGCCATAGCTCAGGCCTAAGCACAGCTTAAGACAAAATTAATAGTGCTAAAGTTTGTCTTATATGTAAGATGTGTTATTGAGATGCATTCTTCTACTGAAACTTAGAATTTCCTCTCCAACAGTTCTGCTTTAT